CTCAAGTGACGGATTACTCAACTCGAGTGCCAAATCTAAACTTTCTCAAACTCCCCTCAACTATTGTTCACTCATGCTTCCACAAAACCCAGAAACATTTGTTCCTGGTTAGCCGAATTCTGACCACGTCCAAATACACAGAACAGCACGGCCTCTTAAACCCAGGGGATCTACCATGGTCAGTGTAACTCAGTCCAACTTGGTCCACAACATTGATGCTTATAACATTGCGGGGTATTGTCCTGTCTCGGGTACGTAATTAGTAGAAGCATTAAGGTGCGGCCGGTGAACCGCTGCTTTCTCCGTATTTCCCGTATCAGTCATGACTTCTCTATTGCTGCCGTCTAGGCTATTAAGGTCTTATAACCCTTCGAAATGCTTGGAGTGTCAACAATGCCCCTTTATCTACTGCTTCAGATGCGTATATACATATCCTCCTTATTGATCATCTACTCTCATAGATATAGCATACTGTGGTCTGGATTTCAGTGTTTGCTATTGCAATTGGTAGTTTACGTGCATGAAGTGCCGTAAAGACTGCCAAACACTCACCACCTCACCTGACATCTACTCCCTCTCTTGCTTGTCCCTAATGTGGCCCATCCGACTGATACCACCACTATCGTCTCCCCCTTAACTACGACTACAGTATTGGCATCTTATCTTGTTTCTCTGACCTGGTCCTCACGTCTTCAATTTTTCCTCGGTGCGTGGCTTCTGGCATTTGGACACCATATCGCAAACTCAATCGTGTCCATCTAATTTTCCCTAACATATTTATGTTCGCGGAGCCCTTGATTCCTAAACTTTTCCACCTAACCCACTCTCCTTCTCGGAGTTAGTACGTTTTAACACCTCGAATGCTTCCCGAGGTCCATGTTTTATCCAACGTGCCTTCCATTTTAGCAGATCCGTTCAAGTTAAGTACTTTAGAGATTGGAAGCATTGTTTCCCCGTAACGGGTTCGAATAAAGAAGCCAAAAACACAGGTTTACACAATCCATCCTGGATCAGTTCGCTGCATCTGTACACGTACAGACAGACTGTAGTCTATGTGATCATTAATATATGTTCAGTAAATAACAGAATCATAGGCGGATTGTTGTTTTTGCCATTATTATACACCAGACAGCTTTCTGCGATCGATTTATTGACTGCTAACTACGGTTCTCCGTTGGTACGAATGCCACTTGCGATTCTGCTCTTTTGTTGCACGTGTGCTTTTAGCTGGGAGTAAGCTGGCTCACCTATAGCTCTCGAACTATACGATAAAAGCCTTAGCTTTTTATTTTATATTTCTATACCGTGTTAACTTGAGAACTCTGAATTATTTACAGAATTCATTTTTTACTCAAGCGATATTGTTCACAATCTTTTCAAATCAGAGATGTAGAATATGCAACTCCTGTCCTCATTAACAATTCACCCATTTATGTATTTTCTCCCACAATTCTTTGTTGATCACGGGATTCTTCCTAAAAAACTGAACGCACCAAGATACATTTAGAAAATGAAGAGAAGGAGAAATTCGTCGTGTATGTGGCAAATGAAGGGTGAACTGAAAAGCTAGGGAGCACCGGACAGCTGTTTCAACCTGGTTGGGTNGTTGGGTCTCATCAGCAATGTGACTCCATCGACTCAACCGGGGATCGAACCCTGGGCCTCATAAGCAGAACGCGAGTAAGCTACTTACTCGGCTATCGGGCAGCCGATCAGACCGTATTTTATTTTCTATTCCATTTTATTTTATCGTCCGCATACACGACGAATTTTCCCTTTGAAATTGAAATAAATCCTCCAATACTCACGTGAAATGAAGAGAAGTTAAAAGCTTATCAACAACAAAATTGGCTATCTTTCGACTTCGCGCGCACATTTCCTTTGTACTTCACATTTGAGTTCTATTTGTCTGACCTTGAGAAACGGGATCTCTGAAGGTGTATTGACTTCCATAAGCGCATATTTTTGAGCTACTGGTTATAAAGATGAGAGAGCCGGATTCTCATGATGGAATCTCGTAGTAGCAGTGAAGCGTGAATAGAACACTGGTGTCAGATTTTGTCCTGACAATCTCTGGGGTAATCAAACATCTCATGGAGTAAATATGACTTTCATTTCGTCGACTGGTCTCTTTTTAAATATCTTTGGTCATATTATTGCAATCGTATCCGCGAAATGTGCTAAAAGTCATGTGTTGTCATGCAACACATTCATGTCCATCCCTAGTTGTCCAGGTTTCATGCCCCTTAATCTTCAGGAGATGTACGTAAACCTCCTCGAGATCGTTCGACATGTTCGAAATTACAAAGATCAAAAATTGTAAGACATTTCTAGTTGAATCAGATGATATCTGTTCATTCACTGCTTTGACCGTTGTCTTGGTTTTCCAGAGGGATTTATTTGAACGGTGGTGCGAAGACCACGTTGACCTGCATTGATATTCATATCAGCAGATCATGCATGGCTGATCAAAAACGTACAGTCTTCCAGAGCACTCAACTTTCTTGTGGAAAATGTGTAACAATCCAATCTGGCCGGGAGAATTAGGCGACGTTATACAGATAGATTGGTGAATTACTATCGGTAAGTCTCGCAAACAATCCGCTTCGTGTGCGTGTGATTTTCAATGTCGTTTCATCATTCTATGAATGCTGACAACATCTGGAAGAATGAGTAGCATTTATTTAACCGAGAAAATTAGTACCGCGTCGACTGGATTTGCTCATTAGTCTTGTGTTTCAGACTAAAATAGCTGCGATTTATCGATTTATTATCAGAGTAATTCTAATTTGACGTAAGGAAAGACGCGTAAGAAAATGAACGATGACAGGCGATATAGTTCGAGGTATAGGTCTCAGCCAAGTCACAAGATGTCAATCAATGTGGTTCAGTAATTGGGATACTAGTACCTATATTTGATGCTATCCTAGATAGACTCGACCCGAACGAAGCTTTTGAGGTTGTTTATCAGTTTCCTTCTATTTGTTCCAAAGCAGCCCGAATGGAAAAGCAAGGTACACGCAGAATCATTTCTTTTGAAAAAATCGGAAAAATGTGATTCGACCACTTCGACTAGATACGAATAATGTGAATAGAACAAAATGTCAGCGGCCTCCCGATAGCATCAACACAATACACTTTCCTTATCCGTTCTTCCTGACATGATTGCTCGTTTTGAGTTTCTAATCCCCTATCTGTTCTAACCGGCCCGATATGCCAAATCCATCAAGGCTGCTTCCAAAACAGTGATCGATAGACTCAAATTTCAATGTGAAGACCAACCAATCAACGCGATCGACTCATAACTCTTGGTGCTAGGTTTTCAATCCCATCAAGTTCGGTCATCACTACGAACTGCTGTTGATTTCTGACTGACGACACAGGGTAACTGTACAATTCTGATGGGGCTTATGATTTTCCCGTGAGCGCTGACCTCATCAAATAATTAGGACAACTAAAATCTCTGATTGGGAGAAAATTCCTAATTGATTTACACGGTGAATGCTTGGATTAGCCCATTTGGTTTTTCACAGGCACAATGCCTGACGCCTGTGAAAAACAGAATGGGCTAATCCAAGCATTCACCGTGTAAATTGATTAGGTCATTCGCGCAGGGTGGTAACTGTCGACCTTGTAGCTCAGAGGTAAGGGTTTGAAGTCTCAACCCGAGGGTCCGCGAATCGGGTCTTGACAGAAAACACAAAAATCACGCAGTGCCAACGAGTCTCAAACAGGACGAAACAGCCGTCTAGTGTTCTTTGTCGGTTATCACGAACATTTCCGTCGCAATTAAATTCTTCATTGGTCTATCCCAGAATGCGCGGGTGCAAATCGGCGAGCTCATTTGTGTTCGTTTTGGGAGTTTCGGTCGGGTGAGATTAAAAGTAAGGGAAATAGACTCGATCGGAGAACTGTTGTCTTATATCGATTCGTTCGTCCTTAACTGATCTCTTTTTTGTATGGGATTTTATGCACACCTCGACCGAAGTTCCGGAAAACGTTACTCCACTATGCGTCTGGAAGGTTATCGGATACACGGGGAGACCAACTTAAATCTGCAAACAAATCACCGCTACACAAACTCGGCCTTAATTTTCGCACAATATTGTTCTATAGTATATTGCCTATCGTTCGCAACGTAATTAAAAAGAAACCAAGATCAAATGAAGGGTTTTATTGCATTTCATTATATGCTCATACCAAATAAAAATATAAAACAGCACCAGAGAGAAATAAAACACGAAAATTCCGAGGAAAATTTGAAAACAAAAAATGAAAAGAAATGTAACAGGGTTCTCTCTCTCGGAGCGGCAAAGGCTTCAAGATGAACAGCGGGGGTAGAGAGGGTGGATGGATGAGACTGAGCGAAGACTGACTGCATCAGATGAGGAACGTACAGGGAGGGACATGTGGGTGTGGCGGTAGTTAAGAACGAGCGAGGGAGAGGGAACAGGAAATGAGAATTTAAAAAAAAATTATCCCGATCAAAATCACAATGTATGGAGTGGGGCTGGTTATGTAAGAGTTCTGTGCGAAGGTAGTCATAGGTAAAGACCATGCATGGTCGATGAATGGTTTGGGAAATGAATCCAGTGGCAGTCCGTGTCAAAAGAAATTCACGTTCATGTGTTGTTCGGTATCATCCACTGCCTCCACTGCCACGATAAAGACAGTTATTAGTGAACTAAGTGAGCCGATTACAAAATGGTGTTGAAAGTGAAGTGATTTAGTATGAACACAAACAAATCTAAGGTAATAAGGGTTAGTGATTGTGAATGGTAAATGTTCCGCGTGCATTCTGCGTCCGGCCCTGTTCTACACTGAGGTGTATGTATATATGTATTTATGTACAACAAATCCCAGGCTAGGGTTACGAGGAAACAGTCACGCGGGGAATTGATCATATTATGTACAAAACACAAATTTGATAAGAAAGTTTGAAGACTTACTGTAATATGCACGCATGCGCACCCAACTCACATACACAATGACTGAAACGGCTATGTTTGTGCCACGGAACCAACCTCCAAACCAATTGAAGTGGGTAAATGTGTGATGGGACTGGAGGAGTTCTTGGCACTTGCTGCAGACTGATGACCCGTGACCTCGGAATTCGATGACCCGTCAAGTGGATATATACCGGCCGTAGAGTTGCTGTTAGCATCTTCGATAGAATTCGCGTCCGTGGACTTTATTGTCGAACGTACTGATTTTATTTTCGATGTCAGTGTTTCGCTTTTACCAGTACTGCTGCATTTCACATTGGAGCTTGGTTTCGTATTCGAGCGCGTTCTCCCTTCAGTGGCATTTTTGTCGGACGAGGTAGAAGACGGTGTCAACCCAGCCTGATCTTCACCAGAATCTTTGAGTTTTCCTGGGGAAGCGTTTGTTGAACGGGTTAGGCAAGAGGTAAGGGAATCTGGATTGGGTGTAGCTTTTACGGAGGCGGGATTTTCATGCGAAATTAGATCCGTCTTGCATTGTCCAGTAGAATCAATGAACGGCGGGGCCCTCCCTATAATTGCTGCAATTTCCGAAGCCACAAAAGCCCATGGGGATTTTGAACCAGGCAGAGTGCACATCTTACCACTGGGACAATAAATCTCTGTCAATTTCGGGATTTGATTGGTCGAGGGCTTCTCTCCGTCAGTGCTAGACATATTATTGACTGTACGAGCTAGCATCACCTGTTCCAGATAGGCTCGAGCACAAGGGAAACAGAATCGATGCTCGAAATGGGCCGGACACTGGACAAAGTGACTCCCTTCCAAATGACGGGGACACAAACTGCATAAAATTGGTTTGTTGTTGTTGTTCGAACCACGTGGCAAATTCGGTGGGTTTGGTCTGAATTTGGAACTGGGCTGGGGTTCGCTTGGTGGCGGATATCGCACCACATCACCAGTACTTCCAGCTACTATCGTGCAATTTTCTTCCAACCCAACACCCGACAGTGAAGCACGAATTTTCGAACCCAATCGTGGTGTTTTGGCCAATGCGGAGAGCGGGTGAGTCGTATCTGATGACGGTCGCTTTTTGGCACCGTTTGGTAATAAACACTGAGCCAAAGGTGTGGATAAGTTATCCTTTTCAAATGGTGCTTGCTTGCGACTGACCGACATTCGATCGGTGCTTAGGATTTCCGCGGCAGCCGAACTGGGTTTCTGTGTCCCTAGTTGACATGTCGAACCACTACTACCAACCAGTTCATCAATAGCTTGAAGTAAATCGACCACAGGTGCCCAAGTAGTTGGTCCAGCTCGTGGTACTTCATACTCTAACCGATCGATATCTGGATGGTCTTCTTCAAATCCGCTTGGATCCATATGACGTAAAAGGCTAAATACACCGGTTAGCATACGTTTCGACCCTACAGGGTATTCAAACAGAACAGTATGTGCAGCTATCGAGCGGTCAGGACCAGTTCCGAGATCCGAGTCCTCAGCAATGAGTGGTGGCAATTTCGGCTGAGGTGATAAACCCAGAAGAAATGCTTGTATCGAAGGCCGATCGCGTAATCGAATCCTTATTGGACTCTTCAATCCGTTTGATTCTATTGGTTGACTATTTGTGTTAATTTGCCCTGTCGACAATAATGAACGCATGAAATTAAGCAATACTCCTTGATCAGAAGTGGTCCCATCCAAACCCGACTGTCGAAATAATCCGTTCAATAAATTAAAATAGGTTAGCAACATGGACGCACTCCACTGGTTTTGCAAAGAATTGTTCCCGTTTGATGTGGGAGAAAGATCCTCTACAGAGTCTGCACAGTCTCGATTGATTGTACCAGAAAGGGGATAGAATTGTTGAGTTGGACTGACAATCACTCCCTTGTTTAACCCACCCGGTAAAGTATGTGCTCCTATGGGATGAGGGAAGGAAAGCGGTTGCGGAACTACGGTTCCCAATTCGTCTGAGGTTTGTTGCCCAAGATCTTCGCCCATTCGTGTTTTCGAGTCGGGACTTAGCTCAGGTGAGCTTGATACAGGATCTCTGGAATTTGTTTGAGCAGTAGCTTTGGCCCATAATTGAGATCCGGTAAGCTTTTGTCTGGCGGAGTGCTGCAGTTTCAACAGTGACGAGTTGATGAGTGTACCGGTGAACAGACTGTTTTCTGTGGCTCGAGACATCATGTTTCGGCTCATATTAAATGCCGCCAAATCTTTGAACAAACATGCTGGAAACCTGTTCGTAAGATTTGTGCTAGCGTGTCCTTGATCCTGATTAAGACTGGAAGGATCCACTGACCCCATTTCTGGTGCACGTGAACTGAAAGATGATTTGCTTGTTTCGGCAGAACTAGTTCGTCTATCATATCTGTTTGATTCAGAATTCTGACCTCCCGGTCGATCTTTGATTTCGTTCATGGGAACTCCATTAAACCAGTCAAAGCTATCCAAACCAGGGCGCTCTATATTCTCGTCCGCCAGCGATCTCGTGTTGCCGGTTTGAATTTCCGTCAATAATGGAGCCGTCGGATTAACCCCGTTCAGTTCTTCCAGTTTTTCCAAAATCAGTCGGGAAGGAGGTAACATTTGGGGCAAACAGTGCATTTTCATCAGTCGAGCTCGTCCAATCACACACTCAATTCGATCGGCCCCCTCATAATTCACACAGCCTCGACAAACCGCCTCGGAAAATTCCGTCAGCATAGCCCATGGGTATCTGGGTAAATCACATAAATAACATTGTATCCGTGTTGGTCCACAAGAAGTCACAAAAGACGGGTTGCCGTCTTCAAGCGGTTTTGTATTGGTCATTGTCAAATGCATTAAACGTTTATCACAATTGCTCACATGTAAATGAAAAGCCGCACAAAATAGAATAATGTAGACCGAACGAAGCAAAACAATACGACAAAATTTGCCTTTGTCCACGTGTGTCTTGCTGACTGTCCAAACCGTTTGTATCACGCTACACTTCAGTCAAAGCACTGGAAAGTTTCAGCCAATCAGCACGGAGCAGACTAGTCAAATGCAGCCGAACTTGTGATTGGTGGATCACTCATCAACCAACCGAATTCAAATGGAAACGATTGCTGATTGTTGAACCTCATGTTGTACAATTACAGTTCAGTGAATAACGAGAAGAAAATCCTGAAACCTGGGCAGATTAATGGGACGAACTAAAGCTGTGAATAATACCTAAAGAGCAACTCAAGAATGGGAGAATTTCGCATCATAAGAAGGAAACTAAAGAATTGTCGGTTATTAGATTGCATTGCAATTATCTAAATTAGTATGCCATGGATCAGAACTGATAAATTATTCATAAACAGTTTGACCGTTGTTCTGGAAACAGATATAGTAATTTAATAATGCAGGTAACCGAACGATATACCACAAGAAGTGGTACACTTGAGGTCCAACAAAAATAGATGAGTATCGCAATAAATCTATTGCACACGGTCGACCAATAGGAAAACAAACTGTTCTTACGTTTACGGATTATGATAAACAAATGTATGTAAAACATGTGATTGAAGATTTAGTACACCGGTGATTGTAATGGAGAAAGAAGGTTAGATCATTTCGCCTGTTCGCCGAGCCTGGAACTTTGTTCGTAAAACTTTCATCACCGGCGGGGGAGGTGCCATTTTCAATCCCGTTTCACAGAAACTCAAGGTTATTCTGGTTCTTGTTGAACAAATGGTATTGGAAAATGGTAGTCCAATCGTGCAGTGGACATCCGGTTGTGAAACTGGATTCTGATTTTTAATCCATATTATCTATTACGCGTTGATAAAACACTGTGATACAAATCATGAAATCGTAAAATGGGTATAGAAGCCCGGTTTCAGCACGGTGTCACTAGCCAGTCAAATGCAGTAATCCGAAAGCAGTTAAAGGAATAGGTGAAACATTTGACAGAATGTGTGGAGACGCAATGTGACTTTGTATGCAAAATGACTCACACTATATCCCGAAGATATGCTAACGGGATAAGAAATCGCTTTTCAAATAGNGCTGAGGTGATTGCAATCCGCTTTTTCAATTCTGAACATTGCAAGCATAAAGAGCTTTTCCAGACACTGTTGATGCTCCTTGGCTTTGGACAGCAGGTTGATTGCGCATAAAGCCACAGAGCATCAATCCCATTCCCACTCCCACCATGTGTCATCTAGCAAAATTTTAGCACTCCCATCACTCGCTATACATGACTTATGGTCTACAGTGCATCTTGCCTAACTTAATCTCGATCTCGTGCCTTGGCTGACAACTGCAATCAACATTTTAATCTGCCCATCTCTCTGCCGTTTTTCATTTGACCTTTGGCCTCACAGCCCCCCACCCCCCGCCCCGCCCCCGTTCGCACCACTACTCTACCATTGTTGCCTTGGCACATTTCCCTGCCAGTGATTGCTNCCCTGATATCGGTAGCTACGTTGACGTTTATCCATTGCAATCTTTTACACTTCAAGCAGCTTCTTGACCTCTAAATGCCACAGGCCCGTCTATGGTTACTCCCATTCATCCTTACTGTCTATTTTTAATCCTTCGCATT